AAAAAAAAACGAATAACCTAGGACGGCATGAGTATAGTGGAGTAGACAGTCGAATTTACAAGGGGGACCAACATTTGTTCATAGAAGATTTCCGTTTTCCCCTTTCCTTGATGGACCGTTCGTCATACAGGTTCAAGAAATTAGAATGCATCGTAAGAGTGATTGTAACTATCCGTTAATGGTGATATTTAATGGTTTTGTGATAATAAAATTGATATTGAGAGGAGAGTAGCAAGGATTTCTTGCCCATTCTCGTTTCCTCTAGTCCTACTCGAAATCTGAACTATTTGGAGTTGATAAGGCTTTTCATCCTTGAGTTTTTTTTTGTTTTATCTTTAGTCTCAGAGTTTCCATTTTGTTGTATTTATTCCTTTCCATATGATGGGCGCTTTCTTCCTTTCTCATTACCACTGACAGAAACTTTTCTTTTATCTTTTCCAATTTTAAGAACGGACGTTAATGACCGAACAGGCGAAAACATCTCAACAAACCGGTTTTGAAAATTATCGTTCAGGCCTACTTTCACTTACCTTTGCGAGTTTTTTTTTTCTCCAATTTTTAAGTATTTTCGATGACCTGGATTTCAAAGACATCCAAGCGAGCAACGGTAATCAGTCACGACTAGAAAGCAATCTGACGTTTTTTCCCAAAAGCCCCTCTACAGTGTCTATGATGAAATCAAGAAATTCAAAAAAAAAAAGACTTGTGAGCTTCTTGTTCATTTTGTAGGAATTCTGTAGGGAAATAAACTTCCATGAAAAAATACTGGCGACCCTTATGGAAGTTCTTTGGAGTTATGCCAGTGCGAGAGGTTCTTTACCGAATTCCTCATCTACATTGGTTGAAGTTCGTAGAAATTTGATGTAAATTGGTGTATCGTTTGTTTGTAGAAACGGTTTATAGGTAAAAGTTGGCTGTTTAGTGGACTCGAAGAGCGGAGTCAGAAATTGTTTGGGAGCATCTTGAAGGGAAACGTACGAAAATATGCGATAGAGACAATCTTAATAAACTAGCTCATCGGAAATCATTGTAACATTGCTGAATTATATGCAAAACTGACCTTGAATGGGATTCGAACCCTTAGTAGGATTTTCTGGGAACGTAAGTTTTCGAGAACGAACAGTGAAAAACCCAACCTCTTCCTCTTCAACGGTATTACTTCATCTCTTTTCCAAGCCTCAGGGGTGGGGGGTGTTCGAGTAAAGAGCCGAAGGTTCAAAAAGCGAATGCGATAGGTTATGCTCACTGGTGCTGTTGATGACCCGTAAGATGATGCGAATATCTCAGCAGCTATAAATCTCTCTATGAAATGGTTGTCTAACCCGACGTGAGCTGCCATCTCTATGCTGCGGTAACCCTTTTATTGCACGCTCTCAGTGAATACCGCTTGGTTCTTGGTCAGCGGATGGAACAACGTCATCGGCAGTTGATGTGCCGTGTCGTTGTCATCTCCGTTGTCGTTACCGCCATCGTGGTCTCCATCACTGCCACCCAAGTCACTGACGTCCTCCGCGTCGCAGTCGTCGCCGTCCTCGTCGTCGTTGCCGTTGCCGTCGCCGTCGTCGGCGTGGTCGTCGATGTGGTGCTGGTGGAGTGCGTGTCGCATTTGTGCGTAATTGAAATTGCCGCGCGCGCACGCATGATGACGGGGTGGCCCGGCGACCATACAGGTTCTGTAATTAATGATTTAGTTCACCGAGAGAGCCCCCGTCGACCAGCGTTATTACTTTCGAATTCGTCCACCCCCATCGGGGCGCACGAGCATTCGAGTATTGATCGTCGCCATCCCCATACCTGTATTAACCTCAGGCTTTGTCATCATCGTCGTGGGTCTGTCGAGAATTTCATCTCAGCTCTAATCTGATGGTCTTTGAGATACTCCGTTCTTTGCTCTCTTTCTCAAATGTCCATCTTACCCCCGTAAAGTGGTAGGTTGAGGTGGTCCTTGGAAGCTGGTCCAGTCTCCTTTCCTGAGCCTCCTTCCGTAGCTGACTCTTGAGCCACAATACCTTGCTTTTCTTTTAAGTAAGACTTGCGGCCTTTAAAAGGCCCCACTTCGAGGGCGCTTCTCCTATGGGTTGGCACCCATCGAGTTGCTTCAGAAATTTTCAACCTTTCTGTACTTATTTGATTTGAGCTCCTTGACTTTTGTTTTAGCGAAATCCCTTTAGATTTTTAATTCCCTCAAAGACTTGAATGGCCTCGTTACCCTTTAGGAAGTGAACAGAGTTTTGTTATTGTTCGTTGGTAACCTGTAGATGTTTTTCCCGAGAAAAAATGCCCATTTCATAGTCATAGGACTGCTGAATGATGATGAATTTTGATGAGCTAATACCTGTAGTAGTCGAACAACGTCGTAAAGGTTAATTAATTTTTGGCGCTGAAGAGAAGAAAACCGGATTTCCGAAATTAATTTCGTCCCCAAAGTAATGTGTGTATCAATGTCAGCACGAGTGCGACTTTGGTACGGCAATGGTTCATACTCATTAATGAATAGTCATCATCTTTCTTCTCTCGGTCTTCGACTAGCCAGGGGGTAGTATCACCTCTTAGTGGGGTTTGGTTTCGTACCCATCACGGTTTTCGACGCAATCCTATTCAACTGTATTGTCTGTGTGTGTCGGCTTTATTGTGTGTGTTTATACGCGCTCACTCGCTCACTCACTCACTTGCTTACGGTAGACATCGGGAAGGTTCTTTTAAAGACTGAAGCGAACGGACGTGAGTGAATTCGGCTTCAGCTTCAAAGGTGATGCTCTCGATGGACTTCAATCGAACTGAATTGCGCTGTTGTTGTTACGTCGTCGTGGCGGTCGACAAAAAGGAAATCTCCCCGTGAAATTCTCAGAGGCGGGCTGTATAGGTGGTCAGAATGATGACTGTTGGGTGGCATCGACGGATTCAAAAATTCGCAAACCCAAATGAAAGTCTGGACAGCCAAAAATCATTTGTTCTTCTAAAAAGTCCCCTCTTAAGTTCTCCCAACTGTGAAAAGGCAAAGCCGACACTCTGTTCTGATTTGGGAGTTTATTAANTTGTTACGTCGTCGTGGCGGTCGACAAAAAGGAAATCTTCCCGTGGAGTTCTCATAGGCGGGCTGTATAGGTGGTCAGAATGATGACTGATGGGTGGCATCGACGGATTCGAAAATTCGCAAACCCAAATGAAAGTCTGGACAGTCAAAAATCATTTGTTCTTCTTAAAAGTTCCCTCTTAAGTTCTCCCAATTGTGAAAAAGCAAAGCCGACAGTCTGTTCTGGTTTGGGAGTTTATTAATGTATCTGTTGGTATTTCAAGTCTGCTTGGAGTTGAAATGAATTCAAAAGCTGATAATGATGCTTGTTCCTTTGGTTTCCCGACATTCAGCCCCTTCTTCTTGTGACCAGTGGCCTACAATTTTGAGTGCGTATGTTGGAAAAGCTGTCCAAAAAACTATAGGAGCTTTCTATGAGGTTCGTGTAATTCTCCACATTCAAAGCATTCTGCCAAGGTACTAATGGGACGGGGAAAATTCTTCTCCTCTGTAGTNTATTTCAAGTCTGCTTGGAGTTGAAATGAATTCAAAAGCTGATAATGAGACTTGTTCCTTTTCCTTCCTTTGGTTTCCCGACATTCAGCCTCTTTTTCTCGGGACCAGTGGCCTACAATTTTGAGTGCGTATTTTGAAAAAGCTGTCCAAAAAACTATAGGAACTCTTTATGAGGTTCGTGTAATACTCCACATTCAAAGCATTCTGCCAAGGTACTAATGGGACGGGGAAAATTCTTCTCCTCTGTAGTGATAATTAATCGCTCTTTAGTTGGAGTCGCTGAAGGTTCAGGGAGGCAAACTGCCTCTACTTTTGGCTCCACAAACTTTTTTTATCAGCGTAATGACTGAATCTTCGTGGTCTTTATCAGTTCTGGAGGCGTTTGGTAAGGCCTATGCCTTTCTGTGGTGAAGATCCCAATTGGGTGTCTCAACGAGGAATCCTTGGACTTCGAAATAGTCTTGAGGCATGCCCAATGAACTTTCGAGTCCGAATGGACAACGTTATAATTCTAAACGGTCCCTTTTTTCATCCAGATCCATCCCATCCTTCCCCTTTCTGACTAGTTTCGAACTTGAATGTCATTTCAGATGTTCTTTAGCTTTTTTTCAAATGCGTGAGACGACTTTTCAATGCAACTCAAGTATACACCAGTTCAATGGTCCTTTCAGTAGGTGGAAGTTGATCTTGATTTCTCTCCGACCGCCCAAACGTTGGGTGTTCACTGAGGTTGCGCCATGCACTTGGAAGATTTCTTGAAAGAAATACCAGTTTTTCAAGAATGTCAATGAACTACTAGAGTCACTCTATAAAGAACCTAACTTATCCTCCAACAGCTCATGACTTCTGACTTCAGTCCATAATAGGCGAATCGTGCATCGTGACAGAGCTAATACCTGTTTATTGGCTCGGTCTCTGTCCCTTTCCGTAGCCGCCGACGGCTAGCTGGCTGCTTGCTGGTCGGCTGCGGACTGGCTGGCGGGCTGGCTGGCTGGTTAGCTCTTACTCTCATTCTCTCATTGTCTAAT